CTATACCACTATACCGCTATACCACTATACCGCTATACCGCTATACCGCTATACCGCTATACCACTATACTACTATACCGCTATACCGCTATACCGCTATACCACTATACCGCTGCATAATTGAATTTGTGATAAATTGGTTTTTTTTTTCGTGAAACTGATTTTGCCGCAAATTCATATTCCCCATCATATGGATCAATAACAACAACACCACAACAATGTAATTCATTAGATTCTTTAAGAAAATTAATGGCTGTAAAACATTTAAAAAGTAATACATTGGATATTTCCACGAAGCTGCCACCAACCTCAAACTCATTCTATCAACATTGTTTACGTTGCTGGCGTCAAACTTATACATGGAAAAAAGCTTTCGAACAATATGATATTATTTGTCATTATCCAGTCGAAGATTATGGTTATCAACTGACAGATAATGGTGCAATAAGCCTTCAATGGATAACAATACCGCCAATGCCTGATGATATATCTTTGGTAAAGTGTGGTAACTGTACAAGTGGTTGTCGAAAATGTAAATGCAATGTATATAATTTATCATGTACGCCTTTCTGTGGATGTTCACCTGAGAATTGTAAGAATCGAACAAATACTCAAGTAAGTTGATAGATCTATATATGATCACCAAAACTAAAAGTATCATAATACATCAATACTTTCGCTTCAGGTATCTACACCAACAACTTTAACAGCACCATTACCATCAAAAAATGGCAAATATGTAAAGAAGAAATATTATATTTGTGATGATGAACATGATATCCACAGGAATAGTAATACTGATATTGATTTTGAAGATCAAGATATAATCGAATCAGATTACGATGATCTAGTAAATACGTAAACTTATTGCTTAACTAGTGTTGTAATTTTTACATTTCTCTAGAGTCTGAACAATTGTATTTTTTCGGAATATGGTGATGATACAAATAATAATAACACACAGAACAATGCCTTTGATACATCTATTTTTGACGAAGACAGCTATTCGTTTGAGTTTAGATCAGCTTCACAAGATTTGGTATGCTGTACTCTTTTTTCTTTTTTAAAGTCAAATATTAAAATTGGTGGTCATGAACTTTTTTGTTTTTTATTCTTTGGATTTAGAATACTCAAGACTTACAATTAAATTCAAAGTGCGCCAAACGAAAATATTCCACAGTAGGATTTGATGAAATTGTATCTCCACAATATGTATCAAGTCAAGTAAATATAATAATATCTCTTGGATTGCAATTTATTGCAGCTCTGTATTAATTTAGGCTATTTCAAGTAAAAGAATTCGTGATGTGCAAACGTATTCATCTTTTTTCTAGTCTTTTTTGAGACCTTACTGTTTGTCATTGTTATAAAACTTAGACTTCTACATTGTTTCTTTCACTTTATATTTTTCTTATTCTTTGTTCTTATATTTTTATTGTTATTATTTTATTTTTGATAGTCCTATTTTGATTTATAATAAAACAGATTTATTCGATGAAGATGAATGAAATACTCAGCTATACATAAAAAAATATTGAAAAATTCGTATCGCAATCATGTTAGGTTAGAGACAGGTATCGAATATACGATAATATATGACGAGCTTGCGTACAATTGCTATGCTTTTACAAGGAGAAAATGTAAAAATTATCTGGTATGTATTGGAAAAGGTTGCAATCTAACCATGATTCCATTTCGGCATCTGCCGTTACTACGGTAACACCCTTCTCGTTGATGAGTATTTGAAGTAACAAAGTAGTTCCCCCAAATGAGATTAGTGCCGAATTGATTTTCATCTCCTGCCGATTTAGGATAAATTAGAATTCTAACGATTTTGTCATTGCTCGACTTTTATCTATGGATGTCGATAGTGGGAAGTGCATCTGCTATTGATAGGTCGAAAGAAACAACTTTTTTCTGAGAGACAGTATACCATCAGTGTGTAGATGTAATGAATAAAAAAGTAAGTAGAAATTATTTATTTTTTTTAATTTTTTATTTCATTGTATTTTTTTTCTGCTGTTTATATTATTTCATTTTATTTTCATTCTATTGTACTTTACTTTATATTTATTACAGTGTAATTTATTTTATTTATTTAGTTCTTATTTTAATTTTATTTAGTTTTAATTTTAATTTTTTTGTATTTTTTATTTTGTTTTATTTTATTTACTTAGTTTTAATTTTTTGCTATTTTGTTGTAATTTATTTATTTTATTTTACTTTATTAATTTTAATTTAAAGTTTTTGTATTTTATTGTAACTTTTTTCTTATTGTATTTATTTAGTTTTAATTTTTGGCTATTTTGTAGCTTTTTTTAATTTTAATTTTAAATTTTTTTGTATTTTATTGTAATTTTATTTATTTTATTTATTTACTTCTGATTGTTTTCTATTTTATTGGAATTTTTTATTTTCATTTTATATTGCATTAAATAAAAATTGAAAATAAGCTAGATTTAAACTATTAATATGCAGCGCAATGGAGTTGAGGAAGGAACTAGTGGGAGGAGATCAAACGATATCTAAGGTTTAGATGTAAATTCAACAGGCTTGTATGGGATTACGAGAGCATCCGACATTTTCCAACTATCAGATCCGAATGTCGGACTTTATCGGATTAAGCCAGATTTCCGATAGGATTCGACGGGATCCGGGACCTGCATTACTAGTCCTGAGTGACCATTCTAATCATCCGCGGTAATCGTTCTCTCATTTACCAAAGCATCCACGCGGCACATATGGTATAACTAAACGGCAGCGTTGCCCACCATTCTTATCTCGCGTGGTGGTCATTCTCTAATTTAGACACGCATCCATGTGACAAATAGAGCATAACGAAACAGAATCCTTACTCACCATTCTAATCACTCCTGGTGATCGTTCTATGTTTTAAAAAAGCCTTTATGTAACGCATAACGTATAACTGAATAGCAGCGACGCTGACCATTCTAGTTTCGCGTGGTGACTGTTCTGTGATTTAGAAGAACATCCGTCTGACGCACATAGAATAACGGAACAGCAGCATTGTCCACCATTCTAATCGCGCGTGCTGACTGTTGTTTGATTCACAAGAACATCCGGCCGACGTAGACCGAATAACAGAACGGCTATCTCTCATTTGCGAACACAAAGAAAATAAATTTTAAGCAAACTAAAATTTTTAAAATTTTTTTTGGATTCAAATTTGACAATTTTATCAACTTTTTGTAAAACGATTAAAATTTATATTAAACTTTTAAAAATTCAATTACTGCGACCGAATATCGAAAGTAAATTGTTTTCAAAGGTTTCTATAAAAATTTATTTTTTTTACTAAGCATGCTTCAATTTGTAGGGGTCGTTACTTTTTTGAGAAGAAAAACTTTAAGACTCAGATAGTTACTGCAATTTTTAGAGGAGGCAAGTTTGTGATAACAGAGGGTTTTTAACATTTACTGCAATTTGTAGAGAGTGTAAAGTTTTGATCACAGAATTTTTTTAAAATTACTGCCATTGCTGTAATTTCCAGAGAACGATACCTTTTAGCTGAATTAAAATTTGCCTTTAAATGTACCTCCGAAGCGTTTTAATGAAAGTCAAAAATAAAATGCACTAGCCGGCTTTTTCTTTTGTTCTCTTTCTCGTAGAGAAGAGTCTTACAAACATAAATTGTCTGCTTGCTTGCTTGCTTGTATGTCCGCAGAGGGTCAAAAGAACATAACGGTTCACCGAAGGATAATCAGAGGTTATTTTTGGTTGGGATTTCGACTAATAAGGTTTTCTGACATTGCGGTTTCAGCCAATAGGATTTCAGGGGGGGGGCAATTCAACCAATCAGATTTTTTTGGCCCGTAATTCGATCTAGGAACGTTACTTTTTTATAAAAAAAAGTTGGCCACAGATTCGAGGTAAAAGCCAGAATCTATCATCGATGATGAGATTTAGGTGGCAAGAGTAGCGGATAATAAAATTTACTAATCTCATCATAGTGTTGAAAAAAAATCAGCCCAACTTTCTGCTCAGAATGCTAAACTCAAACGTGTAGATAGATGCACTTGGGCAGAATAATGCAGTGTGACTGTGCTGATTTTGAATCGTGGAACTTCGTAAATAAGCAATTTGTTGACAGTTTAGAAACAGCACTTCTACGAGAAAGAGCTGAGCAAGTCTACAGACGAGCGTTACTTGTTATGGATAAACTAATCCTCATACTGCACCAGCAAGGGTGGTCGATTTCCTGTGAACTAAGAACGTTTTCACTTAAACACAAAACCAGTTTTTCAGGAGATTGTATGATAACTTGTTGTGATAATTTGACATTGGTTCCGATTGTGATGTGAGCAAATCGAACAGTGTTCGTCAAGAGAAGACGCTCATTCACATCAATATTACTGAGCCATCTTTTTAGAAAATCATACTTGGTATTTCATATTTTTGTCTATAAACGCTTTTGCACCCCAATCAGTGACCTCCATTCAAAGTTTGCCTCAATTTTACTATGATACTCATACAGTCTGTTCAATATCAAAAAATGCAGACCGCATTCAGAGCAACAATTATGTCTGACGCACTCTATAAATTGCACTCAATTAATAATAAAAAAAGCACTGCTATATTTTCGCGGACTCTACAAATTACCGCTCATTCAACTGAAATAGTGGAACCCAATATCAACGAAGCCTATAAGTTACAACAAGGCGAAACATATAACTGAAATTTGAACTTGTTTCAAAGCTGCTATCGGTGAGTTTTTTTCAAAGTTCTCGAGCCAAAACCTCAGACCCAAGAATATTCCAAATTTAACAAAATTCATTTTTACAGTACAACTGAAATTGCACTTATCGATATTTACCGTCAATTTTCTCACCGCACCTGAGAGAAGAAGAACAGAACCCTACAGAAACCGACCATTCTGATCCCGGGTGCCGAATGTTCTTTCATTCATCAGAACATAAGGCTGACGGACTGAGAGTAGATAAACAGCAGTGACCCCGACCATTCTATTGCGACGCGCAGACTATTCTCCAAAATCCAACAACATCCATCCCACGGACACAGAATAACCAAAGAGCCGCGGCGCCCATCATTCCACACGCCTGTGATGACTACTCTCCGATATACAAGAACATCTGCGTGATCCGAACAGCATTACCGAATAGCCGCGAAACCGACCATTCCAATCCCACGTCGCGACTGTTTTTCAATTCACAAGAACATCCGCCTGACCAAAAACGAAAAACCGAACAGCATGAAACCCTACCATTCTAATCTAACGTCCTCAGTGTTCCGCAATTTACTAGAACATCCACACCAAGCACACCCAACCGCCGAACAGTAGCGAAGCCGACCATTCTTGTCTCGCGTGGTGACTGTTGTATGATGTATAAGTATATCTGTATAGTTCCCAGACTATAACATAAGAGTGACGATGGCGAACATTCTACTCTAGCATGGTCACTGCTTGGTAATTGAGAAGAACATCGCCACAAAGCGCGGAAAATAACTGAACAGTAGCGCTGTCGACAAATCATGTTTCGCTTGATAACTCTTCTGTGATGTACAAGAACATGCCTATCAGGCCCCGACAATAACAGAACACTAGTCTTGCCGACCATTCTAATCCCGCCTAGTGACTGTTCTTTAGTTCACAAGAACATCCCTATAATGCCCAGACAATAACTGAACCGTAGCGTTGCCGACCATGCTAAAATCGCGTGCCGACTGTTCTATGATTTACAAGGGCGTCCTTATGACGTCCGACCAAAGCAGAACAGTAGCGAAGCCGACCATTCCAATGTCGCCTGGTGACTGTTCTATCATTTAGACAAACACACGTACAATGCCCAGCCAATACCTGAAGAGTAGCATCGCCGATCACTC